CAAGTTAGAAAAAATCGCGGATCTCTAGGTGTACTTTCTGGAATTGACTAATTTCCCGGTGATTCTGGATATCCAGAGGACCGTTTTCTGGCCACTTGGTTGCAAAATCGACATGGTGATGGTATATTTTCTCTATGCTCATGATTGTATGCAAATTAGAAATAATCGCGCAGCTCTAGGACTACTTTTAATAATTGACCATTTTCCCGGTGAATCCGAATTTCTACAGAGCCACCTTTCACGGGTTTTATCGTTCCGATTGCCCACCCACAGCTCCAATCGGTTCCTTGTCTGTTCCGTTTGAAAGTAGATACTCATACGTTTCTAGTAGTGGCTCAATCTTAAGGCTCTGAACCATTGACAGATAGAAAGTTATCGATTAACCCTGCTATCCGAGCGTGGTTATTTCTGACCGACAAGAAGTTAAATTTTGACAACCATGGCTGAGTTCTGCTCGAAAACCGATCGATCGGTAACACAGGGATTTTCGAACAAAAGAAATGACTTTCGAAATGTCACTTTTAACCACGAGTTAAAATTAAATAAACTCGGCCAATTGTTCACAACCTAAGGTGTGGTAACCAAATTGCCGAGAACCAGTCATGTCAACATGAATCGACACGCATTTTGCTCGGGACTTTTCCGGGTTTTTTTCCGTTCCGGCTGGCCAACCACAGGTCTAATTGGGTTTCTATCTCTTCAAAATAAAGTTAGATAGCCATATCTTTCGATTGGTGGCTGAATCACAACGATTGATCATTGCATTGCTGAGAACCAACCATGTCAACTATGAATCGACACGCATTTTGCAGCCTTGGTAGTGTTGGAAAAATCATTTTCAAAAAAAGTTCTATCACAGCTCATTGCAGAGATAAATCCCAAAGGAACTTCTCACAAAAAGTTCGCGAACGAGAGATGATAAAAAGTTCATGAAAGCGTAGAGCGAGAGAAATTTTCATTTCGTATCGCGAAAGATCTTTCGTCTCTCCATCTCACATCATTTCACACGTACTCGTGATTCGAACCAACCAAATATCCCCTCAGCTTTGTTCTTTTTTCCAGCGAGTAAAGGTAGGCGATGATCACGCGAGAGTGTCTGTTTGTTTTCTTCTCGTTCTCCGATATTTTTCGCATCCTTCACATTAAATACCATTTCCAGAGAACTTTGAGATTTGGGCGTAATTGCTTTTGTAAACAAACACGTCATTCAACGATTTCTAACGAATCAAAGCACAATCTAGCGAACTATAATATACCAAATAAATCATTCCTCTATCTGTCTGTGTTGTTAGTTTTTTAGATTGAAGTTTAATTCACGAGAAATCGGCGAATTAAGTGTGTGTGTTTACAAAAGAAATTACGCCCTAATCTCAAAGTTTTCCGGATTTATTTATAGTTTTAGTTCTCAATGCAACCAGCTAATAGTAGATACTTGTAACTATTCACCAAGAGTCTAATCTTTGCTGACCAAATCATCATTTGTGGCTGTACTCTTCGACAAGAAGAACTATGCTATTAGTGCGAAGTACAGTTAGACCACAGAGATTGGCGCTTAGACATGTTTAGTGTAAGCTAGCAAGCATTCTGTTGATTAGTCTTACTGCATTGAGAACATGCTTATTAGGGTGGTTCAAAATATCGGCTTTGCTTCACTAAGCTCAATCGATTTTTAATCAGGTCCAGATAATTCTCCCAAAATTTGAGCTTATTGGGTTGTGATCTCATTCTGCACTGGCCATCTAAAATTTATAAAGGAAAAGTGATTATTTTGTTCACCTCGTCTTTAAATTTCGCCATAATGATCTACCAATAAGTTAGCCTTGTGTACTCATAGGAAATTTTGTCAGCTACATTTTTTTCTAAAGACCACTTTATAATTGAACGTTGAGGAAATTAGTTATTAATTAATTTCTAATCTGCTAACTTTCTGATTTGATCACTCGACTGCATTAGGTAGAGGGCAGCAATGTAACCCAGTAGCTCGCCCGGTAGCTTGATTTTCCACACAACCTTGAATGAAAATATTAAATTTGCTGGTGCCATAAAGCTACTGTAACTTTTTTCATGGATCTCAAACTGCAAAAAAAATCTATTAAACACCGATTCTAAAAAAAATAGTTTACTTGATAATTTTTATTCAGCAGGTGTATTCACTTGGGAATCAAGCACTTCGCAAGTTGAAAGTATTTTGAGATTGTCTGTTAATTTCAAGTCTTGCAATACTTGTGGATGAAAAATTTAGATCGTTCTCAATCTGTCACTATATCAAAATCTCAAGGTACATGGTTACTTTGATTAATTTTGTGTTCATTTCCAGATTTTTCGTTTTCTTTTTTTTCTGCCTATATTTTTTTACAGTTTTAATGGACATTGAATAAACTGTTTAAATTTTTTATCATCCTAAAATGCACACTAAAAAGATGTTTTTGTCAGATCCTTGGTCAGCAAATAAAGCGTTTTAAAGTTCAGCAGTGCAGCAGTGCAGCAGTGCAGCAGTCCCGTATACCTTATGGTTTTACATAGGAGGGTCTACACGAAACGAAAATCAATTATTTAATTCATGTGTTTTACTTATACATTTTTGCCAAAGCATCAGCCTTATACATTCCATAAGAAAAACCACATAGGTCCTATTAGAATGCATAAAAGGTATGTGTGACCGCTTATACATTTCATTTGACACATGATCTTTATTAACTTTTTGCAAGGCGTCTGCTTATTAGTTGACTTATACATTTTATGAATAATCAGCAATGGAAATTTGCCAAAAGGTATAAGGAGATTTCTATCCGTGTAGACCCTTTCTAGTTTTACATTGTTTTACAAGGATTCCCAGTCATGGGAGAGGACAGTAATTGCACAGTGAAAAAGTTCACCACCACCTATATTCTCAACCATCCCCCCCACCTGCATATAATTATTGCATAAGAGCTTACAGGAACAATATTACGAACACTAGTGATGAGAGGAGCCATGCATTAACTGTATTTCTGTATTTCGCGAAACTGAGGATACATTAGGCGCTCCTCATTCCGAACCCCCCCCCCCCCCCCATCCTGAGGAACGGTTTTAATATAAAAATTGCTAGTCACAAGATCTTACACTACCCTCCCCGTTCCTCGTTGATGTCGCGTTGACACTTGTGCTGATTCATTCATTTTTTTGCCAGAAACCAATGCACCAATCAATCAGCTGCACAAAACTGTTCACATCATCCTGATAACGGTTACTTTAAACAACAGGCGCCAGTAGACAGCCAGCTACCAGACTTATCAGGCTTTAGAGATTGTATTGATTTACTCGGGATAGCTTTCTGTCTTTAATCTTTCCCTTGTGAAATGTGCAGTGCAATTTTCAAAAACGAATGTGGTGCAAAGAGATAGAGAGAAAAAATAATCTGATATTTTTCGTATCCTCGCGTTGGTGATTCGAGTTAAAAAAGTTCGCGATATCTCATTCTCTCATCCCAGAAAGTTCACTCAGGAAATATTGGAGTGTGAAACTAGTGAGGGAAAGTTCCCAAGAGAAAACGTATCGCAAGCGAAAATGATATTTTGGGGAGAATTCCATCACTCCAAGTTGGTATTTTGGGGAAGTTTCGATGGCTTGGGATTATTTCAGTTAATATTCAGAATTTTTATCTGTGCATTTACAAAACCCTTAAATACATCTTTAAAAACAACGTGCAACGACTCTTTTCACTTTGAAAAAAGTAGACTACCATATTTTCAATCATTCTGGAATTTAAAATAGTTTTCAGAGGTACCACAATTTTTGAAATTCATCAAGAAATGGCTAAGTTATGTCATTGCAAACTTGCTGTTACACGTTTTTCGGAGGCTTCGTAGTCGGCGTAAAGTATTTTACCCACGTATTCGGAGTGTTTAAAATATTCCATTGGCCGAATGGATTGGCATGGTACTAGACGCCACATTTTTTGTTAATTTGCACGATAGGGTTTTTGATCTAATTTCCGTCCTACTAAGCACAACCCACGCTTTACCTCTCTTTCTTGAACGGGTTGGAACAATTAATGAAACGTTTCTATTAAAGATAACTTTTTCATTTTAATATTCCCCTTTCCATAAGTACCGTTGAATTTGATAAAGAGCCACACATTGTAGACATATTGTTAAAAATCTAACACTGCTTCTTGATTCCAAATTCGTCCTACGAGTTTCAATTCCGTCCAAACGCATTGAAACGCCATTGGATTTTCTTCGTCCTACGGTTGAAATTAGAAAAAGCGAATTCACTAGGAGCGCTTCTTTTGTTTTGAGAACAATGAGTGTAAATATTCACACAACACGCTCTAATAGGCTTTGTGTTGTAGCTTGTGAACTAACGCATCGGTACAAACGTATTACTGATTTGTGCACGGTGAAATCATTGATTATACTGATGGACGGTTATGACGAAGTAGCGCTCTACCCTAATTAGTGTAAATTAAGGTCAAATATCCCATAAAATGGACAATGTTGTACACTAGCTTGTTAACATGTTTGTTGTGTTTTCCAAGATTAGCTCTAAATTACATAAGGGAACTTTTATACGACGATAAAAATCTATATTTTTCAATATTTGAACAATTTCTGAATTCCGCAACTGATTGTACAACCTAACCCGTTTTACAATCCTACATCAATAATGAAGTCGAGTATCGGACACATTCCCCACCACAAAACTTTTTGTATTGTTTTTTTTTTTTTGTCTAGAAACTGCTCAGTCCAGTTGCTCCCACATGGAATCCCACGGGCCCACGAGAGCATGAACAACTTTCCACTCAACGACTAACTTGGTATGGACCCTCACTGAAAGTTGAGAGGGTTCGGAGAAAAGTTAAATGCATAGCATTCCGGCTGGAATGTGATGTGATGATGAATGCAGAATTAATGTATATTTGTGTGTGTGGGCCTGTGGTCAACTGACCAAACCCCAGTCCGGTGGGCACTGGGGCTACCCAGCATATCATGGGCCTACACTCCACTCAAGGTACTTACCGCTTCCGTGTGGATCGGATGTACGGCGAACAGCACTCCGGCAAATACGGCAAAATTCTTCCGTAGTCCGGCGATCGTTGTGCAGACTCGGGTGAATAATACACAGGCGGCCGCATGTAGCACCACGTTGGTTGCATGAAACCATAGCGAACGAAGGCCAAATGTTATATAATTTAATCTGAAAGCAGAATAAAGAGGAAGAGAACGAGAGTTGGTATGAGACGTGAGTTTGAATGAGTAGAACGACAAAAGCCGTAGCTGGAAAATACTGACAAAATGATGAAAGCAATCCCGAGACTGGCAGGGAAGGCATTCGTAGTCGGTTCAACTGCCCGATCTAAGGATCCATTACAGGATAAAATATTAAAGTTCACTGCTGAGCTAGAGTTGTGTGTGCTACGACAGAAATAATGGAGAAAATGACAGAAATTATAAAAATGTATAATAGCTTAACTCAAAAGCCTTTTTTCCGCTCATGAAAGCAACGAGATTCATTTTCTTTGACTTTGGCATTTACAGTTGAACTTTTTAATCGCCTTACTCCTCGTGTTTACCCTCCTCGTTCCACTCTAGACGATTATACTTTCTCTGGGTAGAAAAAAAAATCCTTTCATCATGGAAAAATCATCGTTCAGGACGTGTGCTGGTCTTTCCAGCAGCAGAGGCAAAAATAAAGGAAACCGGAAAATGGTGAATGCAGGGAAAATGGACGAACCAATCCGAGTGGAAATTTAGTTCGTTTGTACGGTGTTCTTAAATCAATTATTCATTACTAGTAATTTGTCAAAGGAAGTTTCTCCACATCTGTCGATGCAAGCGAGGGATCGAAAAGAGTGGGGTTAGGGAAACATAGATACAACTTGGTTGAGGAAGAATAATCGTAACAGTTGCATGGATCGTGGAAAACGGGCTGGGGCTTCTCACATCCGTTATCGCTGCTCAAATATTCAAGGTAAGTAATTTGCTTTTCTCGATTTGCTACATGCATTATGAATGTCGGAGTCGGAATGAATGCGCTTCTGGTCATGTGAAGTCATTGATGATGTGTCGTTTTGAATATCAATGAACTTCGAATCGATTCCAGCCATCCCGGGTGAGGTCACTGTACCCAAGACTTATGTAATTCAGAATGTGAACATGGTCAAACTTTTGAATAATTCAAAACTTCGTAGTACCTGAAGCAAGTTGAAGTTCTGTTAATTAATAGGCTATTTAGAGATAATTATTGATCTGTGATTCTATCAACCTAATCCGATTCGAATCAATTCGATGATGACCTTAAATCCTTGCTAATAGAAAGCATCTATACTAAAAGTCCTTGAAATGCGAGTGTGTAGTTAAGTAGCATGTTGCTATACCATCGCTGCCAGGAAGCACCATGTATATCCTCTCGAGGCAACATGCTATGTTCATTAAATTAAATTACAAGAGCTACGCCTAGCGTCAGCACTACACGGATTGAGAGGTTTTTGATTGAAGATAATAATTCATTAAACATTATTATGACACAGTCTAGAGGCAGGCATCCGCCCTGACGCAGATACTGAGCCTATATGAGGTAAGCTATTTGAAAAACGGAGCTCGGCAAGGATGTGGAAATTGCATCATCGTGTTTCGACGTATGGTCTGAAACGAGTGTAACATCGCGTAGAACCTGCTCCGTGTTACTTTGCCTGCTCCATGTTACGATTGTGCATCTGGATAAATCGAGAGCAACATGTGAAAAGGGCCAAATGCTACAATGACTTTAAACGTCGAATTCTCCAGGATAAGGACTCATTCAGGTAAACCGGCTCCAGCATCTGGTAGAGGAAGTTTGCCTTATAAGATGTTGGAGTAAGTTTGCGTTGTGATTCGTGAGTAATGGACGTTCAAAGCCATTGTACATAGGTCATTTTCACATGTTGCTCGACAAATTACAAAACAAGTGTGCGCCGTCCTGTGGTATCAAAGGATGGTAACGGTAGATATAATGTAGCTCAGCATGAGGTCGTTTTATTTATGTAATATCGGATTATCGACACTTGCAAGTAAAAGAGGATGATGGCGGCTTTGATTTCCGGTCCAGTCAATAATATTCAGGCAGTTCGCTGTAATAGAGGCCCTTATGAGAACATTTTTGTATGAAAGTAAAAATGACTAGAACCAAAACTACACGGAAAGAAAAAAGTTCCTTATTTTGAGTTCTTTTCACCCAGGTTTGCAGTTGACGGATTTCACGCCAACTCGTCTTCGGAGTTGGCAGCACCCTCTCAGAACCTTATGAAACTTTGTGGGTGTGGAGACTTAGCAATTTTAAGCAACTTTGAGTACTTATTTTTTTCAAAATTTATCTCGCCTAACATTTGATAAGGGTCAAAGTTTTTTGTCGATTTTTTTTTCAAATCGATATAGCTTAAAAATGACAAGCCCTACAAAATATTGATGTATGGCGAACTTTTAGCAAATAATCTGAAATTTTATAAAAAAATTTAAATAAATTAAAAAATTGTTTTCTACACTCTAAAAAAATATATTTAAAAATTAAAAGTCATTTTCCCAAAAATGGTACCCCTCAGATTTGCTTGATATTTTTTCTCATGAAAGGCAATATAATTACCTAACTTTTCTTCATACATCGCAAAGTGGGCGCTTTTAAGGAAAAAAAGTTGTTCGAACAACAACTTTTTCATGTTAATTTTTTTTAGCGTGTTTCACTCAAAGTCGAATAGTAATACGCGCACAACCGTTTTTAACTTGTTCGCTAATTGAGACAATTATTCAGTTAAAGTAAATTTTCTGCCAAAATGATGTAATTTCAAAATGTCATGATTAACTGGATGAACTTTGATGTTTTTAAATGCATTTAAATTAGTGAATTCCGCTCGCTAGGTGAAAATCAAACATTATTTTCTCAGCTGTCGAATGTCTAGTGTATCAGTAATAGGGTGCTTCATTCTGAAAAAAGTGATGAATTTCTGATGGGCCACCCTCCAGTTCGATTCATAGCCCCAAAATATGAACCTGTGCAAAAATTGGTAAAGATTGATGAAGGTTTAGAGGTCGCGCCAATGATTTGAAATTTGTATGGGAATTACTATGGAAGAATTTAAAAAATCGCTTATATCGCTATAACTTTGCTTCTACTTGTCCAAATGTCGAAAAAATTTAGTATGTTATTGCTATGGCAATAAACAAAAAGCCTACAGTTGCTACGCTCAGTTTTGCAGCGTATCAAGAATTATAAAAATGTGAAAAAATGGCAAAATAGGGTAAATTGACAGATGAATATGTACAAGGCAACAACGCCAATTTCATCGCAACAACAACAGGCTTGTTGATCATTGTCATGACAACCACATATTTTTTTTTTCAACGTTTGGACAATTACAACCAAAGTTAGAGCAATGTAAACGAAAATCAATAATTTCCCATACTAATTCACCAAAATCTCCATACAAAATCCAAATCATTGGCGCGACCTCTAAACCTTCATCAATCTTTACCATTTTTTGCACAGGTTCATATTTTGGGGCTATGAATCGAACTGGAGGGTGGCCTATCAAAAATTCATCACTTTTTTCAAAATGAAACACCCTAATCAGTAAACATAATAATTATTAATATTAATTTTCAAACTCTTTATGGTCACCAATCGGTTAGATGGAAAATATTAGTAGGCTCAGTTGCTCGAGATATATCAACAATAGTTTACAATTATAGTTTCAGAACCACGACTAAAAAAAACTCACCTCAAACGGCTCAAGAAAGTTTCACAAGTCTTCAACTAGCACCCACTCATGTGCTATGAATATGAGATCGTTCTTATTAAGACGATTCCATAAAGCATTCACGCCAGCTCTATTTAGTTCGAGACTTTTCATCATCTTAAGTAAGTAATGCCAACGTCTTACGCTGATTGTTTTAAGTGTTGGGGCTTATATAGGTCCATCTTTAAATTGAACATTGATATTCGTTTCACACAAACTTGCATGTTGGGCATCTAGCATCAAGATTTCTGTTATTTTTTTCTGATATGTTATTTCTCCTTCACATCTGTATTTTCACGTCAATCTTAGTATACATCATTTTTTTCCAAAGTATCTATTTTTCCTTTGGAAGTATCTATAGACATAATATTCAAAAGAATTTTATTTTAATTCGAATTCGACATCGTGAAAGTAGTCGTGAATGGGAAACAAAACTTCAAAAATCAAATGCGTAACTGAAACGAGACCGATGCGCAGGATCTATAGGAGAGGCAGAAGGAAACTTTAGCCGACTGTTTCATTCATCCGGTGTTCTCGGCTAGTTTCCTTCTGCCTCACTTTAAATAAAACAGAATGTAAAACAATAACCGTTCAATTTGCGGTACATTTCTGCATCCACGGTGGCTGCAACTAGCACCATTTTCGAATGATATCTTTAAACATTTTCAAATTTTCTTCTACGACGGCAAGGCAAACTTCGTATTTTGAAATTCTCACAACCAGGGCTAAAAAATCTCATTACAGCTAAAATGCTACTTTTCGAAATTATGAAACGAGCGTGCACACAAGTTCTTATTTCAACGCCTTCCAGATGCATTTTACCGAAAAGGTGTTGCGGATTTTTCATCGGAGTAACATAAATTTATTCGGCGGCGTGAACGATTTTACTGCGGCGGCACGCCGGCTCAATTTCATTTTTTGGGTTTTTCGGAGTCAAAAAAAAATCTTCAAAAAATGTCACAACCCATTATTTTCAGGCTGGTGGGTATGAAAATCTTTAAATCGATTTATCTCCGTTAATACGGCTCTAATCGATATTTGGAGGGTTTTTTTGGTGTAAAAAACAATTCCTCAAAAAAATGTCCCATACTTACTTACCAATCAGGCTAAGGCCTTGTTGTCCTCTGCTGTCCGAAGAAGTCGTCTCCACTCTACTCGATCCATGGCCACAGTTCGCCAGCCTCGTAGTCTGCGAAAGGTCCGCAGGTCACCTTCTACTTGGTCGATCCACCTTGCCCGCTGCGCGCCTCTTCTTCTTATTCCTGTTGGGTCGCTTTCTAGAGCCATTTTCACTGGGTCGTCGTGCGGCATTCTAACGACGTGCCCAGCCCACCGTAGTCGCCCAATTTTTGCAATGTGGACGATGGATGGTTCTCCCAGCAGCTGGTGCAATTCGTGGTTCATTCGCCTCCTCCACGTTCCGTCATCC